TGAGGACCAAAGATCTGACCTGGAATCTCTCGGGCACATAAATTAAGCACGAATGAAAGTTCGTCGGCTCCTTTTTCTGTGTGTGTATGGAAAAAAAATGGGAATAAAGTTTTGTTCGTGTGTCTGACCAAAGAGAAATGGTACGAGTTAATTAAGGGCTGTAGAAAACTTTTGGTTAATAATACTGGAATTGAATGTTAAGAATTGGCTTCAACATTTTGGGTGTTTTTTTTTTCAAGTCAAAGAGGTGCTGAAAAGTTTGACAAGGCCAATTGGAATCACCCGTAGAAAAGGATCCAGATCGGCTGAACAAACTATTTGTGTTAACCGAAATTCCAGTAAGTCAAAGTGCTACAAACTTTCGGTCGGTCGCTTGGCTGACTGAGTGCTAAAACCATTGACCGGAGTTTGTTTTTATTTTTTCTCTCCATACCAGATTCAGATTTTGCTTGTAGTAACACAACAAAGGACACGAAGGCAAATCATATAAATATCCGAACGAAGAAAAAGAGAGAAAGAAAAAAATGTTTTAAAAGAAACACAAAGAAGGTCATTTTCGCATACAATGGCGTCAATAAAATCGGGAGATTTATGTGATACGAAACAATAAAAATGCGGAAAAAGCAGTCGGCCGATTGTGATGGTGCCAAGAAAGAGAGAAGGAGCGAATGCGTCACAAGAAGAAAGTATTTCATGCCTGAACCGAATTCGACAACGACAACGACAACACCAGCAGCAGCAGCAGCAGCAGCAGCCGCAGCAGCAGCAATAGAAACAGAAACAAGAATAATGATGAAGATGCTTCTCTATAGGAAACGTTCTTCATTGTGTGCGTGAGACGAGCGAAAGAGAATACGAACGCTATACCGTACCCATTGGAGATGTGGAGCAGAGAATAACTTATAATTTCCTCTTTTATAAAATTCTTCCCATTGTGCATCCATACACCATCTCACACATACATACACACACCCATATTTGGTTTTTCCTTTTTTCCCTTGCTCAACCTTTATTTCATATCTGTCAAATGCTTTGGCTCTAATGCGTGTTATTAAAGATGAGCACACGATGTGAAAAGGAAAGAAAAGATGCGAAGAAAAAGAAGAAAAAAGTCTATTTTGCTGGCCTATTCCCTTTGGCATTTTTATCCAGTGTTATCATGGCTTGTTTCATGAGTGGGATTGGTTTCGCTTTGGTGTTTGGGGCACGCTTGCTGTATGTATTGCGGCTGTGGCTTTGGTTGCTGTAGTTGCCATTTCCTCCACACTATAATATGTGCTGGTCTATGGATTTGCTTACAGCTCTACATGCGTGGTTATTAGGATTTTGCACAATATTCTTTTGTTCCGAATCGATGGCACATTCGCGCGATTCATCAAGATTTGTAACAAAAGCAAATAAAGCTAAAACCGTACAAAATTATCCATGAATGTGTGTAGTAATTGTATTCGAAAATGGGACAAAACCACAAAAGCAACCATCCATTTTGTTGTGGCGACACACCGAATTTTATTGTATATATGTGTGCAATAAAAGCGAGATGAAAAAGGCGAATTTTTCGCAGAGCGAACGAACGACTGGGATAAAATCGAGCATGAAGAATCAGCGATTCGAATATTAGGTACTCAAACGTAACATTATGGACGAACGTGTATGCATTTCCGAAAAATTATACGAAATCATCAAAACGTAAATCCGGTGGGCTTTTTTGGACTCAGCGTATTGTTACGCGGTGGTGTACCAGAAGACAAAGTTCATCATGGGACTATTTTTGGTTGAACTTTGATATTTGCAATAAAATTTGTAGCACTAAAACCATGGCGTTTATATGAATTTTATGTAGGGTGCTAAGAAGGGCCAATGAAATGAACGAATCGAAATTCCCATTTGAAATGAAAATCCAATTAATTCGACATGACCGTTTATGGTTTTGTTGTTATAGCAACTAGATCAAGCGGCATCACATTACATTGTCTGCACAATTCCAAGAAGGAGAAAGCCAGCCCAATTAAAAAAATTTGATGAGAAAGAGAAAGCTACTGCAAGTGACATAACGACGAGTTATTTTCATGCAATAAAATCTTAACCTAAATTCAGTCATCGGTGTAATGAAAACCAATCGCTCAATTGGTTTTCAACTCGAAAAACCGAAAACTCGATTCGATGCGGCTTTTCATTGTGTGTATGTGTGTCCGTCCTTGGTTCGAGGACATTCAAACGGAGCCACACATTGTGATGAGCATAAAGGAATTCGCAATTTAAAAATGCAATCATCCAGTGATAAGTAGAATGGATTATGTGGTTGAAATTTTCTTTCAGCTCAAGTGTGTGTGTGTCTGTGTTTGAGTGTGGGTGGACCGGAACATCAGTATTTGCGGTCATCAACAACGCAAGGGAATTCAACTTACATCAATCTTTCTCTGATGCTTGCATAAGTTTATACATTTCATGAGTTGGCATAACCAAAACGAACACATGTACCATCCACCAATGGCATCTTCAATCAGTCGTCGCTGCTGCTGCTGCTGCTGTAAAAACGACCATCAAACCCAGACATATGATGAAAATGAGAATTTCTTAATTGAATTTTTCCAAAGTGTAGTTACGATGACTTTTCTAAATTAAAACCCATTCAACTTCAACGAAGTTCATTCTCTTCTTCCAATCGTGAACTATCTCCGCTGCGCCAACCCGTATAATAAACAGAGTTTGCTTTTTATTTGATCATTCTATTTTTAAATTCTGATTTCAAACCCTTTCCAAATGAATGCGACAGATGCAAAATCATGTCGAAGCATGAGAAGAAAACAGCAACAGCAGCAACAGTAGCTCAGATTTAAACCCTGTTCCGAACTTGAATTTGATTTAAACAAATTAAAGAAAAACTCGTAACGAAGACGAGAAAAAAAGCGCACTCAACTAAAATGAAACTTATTTAAGTTTTCACGTTTTCCGAATGAGAGAATTCAAAGGGATGCAAGGAGAAATAAAAAAAATCAAATTTGGGATAGAAAAAAATATGAGTAAGCTGAGCTTCCTTTGCATCCGAGTTTCTGCTGTGAGTGCGTTTTTCGTGTGCTTCCGCGACGTTCGATCCGACGATAGAGAGTGGAGAAGAAAAAGGAGACATGGAGGTAGAGAGAGAGAGAGAGAGAGAGAGAGAGAGACCGAATCAAAGTAAGAAACCAACGGCGGAAACGGATTCAATGAAGGAAATGTAGAAAAGAAATTTCATTTGGTTGAGAGAAATAGAGAAAAATTGAAAAATAAAAATGGGTCGGATGACCGGGATAAGGAATAAGGGAAAATCGAACAAATTACGTTTGACGCTGGAAAAAAAAAGACATCATTCAACAATTGAATATTAAAATCGTTTTATTGTTTTTTTTTTCTCCCATTGCCTCCAATTGCATCGAGTGCGTGTGAGCACTGATCTGGTGGCAACCGCATTTTTATCGCTGTTCATTGAATGCGCTTCTGCGAAGGGTGTACAATGTACATAACGAACAAAAAACGGGTCCATCCATTAAAATGATCAATTTTGATAGATACACAGAATACAAAAGCACGCAATGGATTGCAAATTATTATCGAAATGGTTGAAACAAAAACAAAAGCCAGACTTTTGACAAAATGGAAATTCGAGCGAGAGAGAGAGAGCGAGTAAAACGGGATCCCATCAGCATAAAATGCAAATTAAGAGAGAATAAACATATTTTCCTCGATTTTTTTAGTATCCTCCGTAAACACGACTGGCACCGAATAGCAAAACTCTTGTATGTTGCAGTGGAAAATCCGTTGGTTCAACTTTTCGAGCAGCCGAGATGCTGCAACAACAGTAAAATTAGTTGTAGCAACAACTAACAACGGCCCAAGTTGTATTAAGAGAAAATTCTCTGGTTTAACATTAAAGAATGCGAACAGAATTGTCGTTGCAAACTGAACGAAAATGACAGAGTTTGTGCGGTAATTAGTGAAGGAAAACTTTTCCCTTATGTATCCCATTTACTTTTCTTTGACTGTGTCTGGATTCCTATCATATTTTCCTTCCTCTCGCATATCTCGCTATCACTCGCTCTCTCACTCGATGCCAAATGCACTGAATCGTCTGGCACACTTGAAAATCATACAAACTAATAACAATTCGTAGACATTTCTTGTTCTTATAAGCCACTTTTTTACGATTATCTCTTTCGTCTTTCTGGTGTTGGAAAAGTTTTTGATTTTCCTATTTTAATGGTTTGATTTGTGTTTGATCGTTGCTTTTGACAGGTAATTTTGGAAAATTCAATTACCCAACAAAAGAATGAAACCGTTTGCGGCTTCAATCAGTCAATTCCGAATGATGCGGAATATTCTGAAGTGAAAGTCATCAATGGCACAATTCGTCATAGTCATTGTCATTTCCGTTGTTGAGCGAGTGAAAATTTCGCAGCATTAACAGATGGAATGTTCAATTGGTGTATGAAGAGTTACCTCTGCCAAAATACATGTCTTTTTTCAAATCGTTCATTTGAATGTTTTTGGGCTAACGAATGCGCCTAAAATCCAGCAGCCAAACTGTCACACGGTTTTCGGGGCTGAGTGTCGATTCAATTGTGATACAATGACAAACGAGGGACAACGGCGCTTAAGGGCCCGTTAATCCCATTCTAGTATACTCAAATTCACTGCATGAACGATGACCAAGTGTCCAAGTGTATTGTACAATCAATTGAGCTGTCCAATTAATTGAAGAAAAAGAAGGAAAGTTGCGTCTGGATTACTTGTGTCAACTCCATCACTGAATGTGCCTCGTATTAGCCGTCAATATGAGGGTCGGTTTGTTTGTTTTGAGCTCGACGACCAATTTGGTTGGAGAAAAAAAAAGAAACAAATGTGACAAAATAACGAAATAAAAACGGTTTGTCCCATTGCGAAATAAAAATAAACACCATATTGATAGCCCATCCCAAAAAAATATAATATATACCGTGAAAATTGTTTGGATTAGAACTCACCTTTCTAGCCGAGCAAATACTGACGTTTATTTTCGTAATTTTCGCTATTTTTCCCTTGTTCGTGCTATCACACACACAATTATACAACAATCGAATCAAAACCTCTCTTGAATTTACTTCGTAACAATTTGGAAATTTGGCTTATTTAACAAATGTTCAAAAATTCGTTTGGAAAATTGTTCTCTTTGCACACTGACCTTGGGTCAAACCACACATAAGGTGCACCCAAATGCACGCGTAAAATGCACACCAATTTAAAAGTGTTTCAGAAACCGAATTCAGACAATCTGATAAACCAATCAATAAATCCATAAAACTTTTATCGCAAAAGTAAATTTTTCGTTTCCGTAACAAGAACTTCCGTTTCTCACACTTTTTTCATCACTCGCTATTTTTGTTATCTATTTCAATCAAACTGGGAGAGTTGAATAAGTTGACAAACAGTTGAGCGCGGCTGAAACAAAATTCGACAAACGAACCGATCCGATTGATAGTCTCTGTTGAACTGAATCATCATCCAACTGAAGATTTTCCCATCACATCGCAACGGTGCGTGTGTTACATAGAGAGAGAGACTGTTTCTGGAAAATGTTCGACTGAGAGAATGAGAAATGTTGTGAGAAGCGTCCAAAAACCAGCGAGAGATACGTAAACACCATTGATAGCGTGCAACGATGTGTTGAGCAGAGTGCCGAAGTGGAGAAGTATATAGATGTTTTGACGCTCACTTGCAGAGAGAGCGAGAGAGAGAGAGAAAGAGCACCGGACTGTCGTTATGTATTGAGAAAATCACATCGTTGCGCATCGTAAACAGATTCACATTTTCCAGTTTCCATTCCATGGAAAATGTGCGCAAGAGAGAGAGAGAGAAAACCGGAGAATCGGCAACATGTGATTCAGAGATGAAGGTGCGTACAGCTTCCAATGGTTTGTTTTCATTTTTTTTGTTTTTGTTTTGCAAGTGTCGGATTCATGCTCGACCGAAGAAGGGGTGTACAAAGCTGAAAGGTGTGCTTTTGAAAGATTCTAAGCCGTTACTGTCACCAACTTACCGTTTCTTAACGAATTTTTCTCCCATTTGCTTGATACTTTTGCTGATCTATTTAGATCTATTTAGAAAATAAATCTATTTAGGAAAGAAATAAAAAATAGCAACATCTCGTTGCTAGTCAATATAAAATTATCAGATGATCAAGAAACAAAAACACAATCCGGTCTTCTTTTTTTTTCAATTAAAAAAATCTAAGATTTAATGCCAATGGACAGAAACAATTTAAGCTTAAATGTAAAAAAAAGATTAAAATGTATTTCGTAGAGAAATGCTCTTCACAACAGTGAAATAAATCTTAAGACACTAGAACAACACCACCACCGTAGGCCCACATAAAAACTACTCTATTAAGAAAAACGTGTTTTTTGAGTGCCACTCACGTGTTAACAACAACAGAGACAAACAAAACGAGCTACTCTATTAATTCTACATCTTGATGCAATTTGTTACAATGATTTTTTTTCCTCATCTAGCAAAACAAAAAACAAATTTGAATATCTCGTGTTAACGCACTTCTTCATTGAAATTAAAATGTCAACGAAGTAATGGCATGCCATTTGAGGCACACAATCGAAAAAAAACCATTATTCGATGTACAGGTAAAAAAAAACTTAACAATAATAAACGATCGCATCTAATGCAAATTAGGTAGTTCTATGCCATTCAACTAGACTCTAATACTAAAACTAATGATTGATTGAATAATTTAAAATTCAAATTTTGGTCGATTGTTTTAAGAGTTCCTGAAATGAACGAAGAGTTATATTAAAAGTCAATATCACAGTTGCATTAGCAAGGATCGTTGTAGATTCGTACTTGACGCGTTTTCTTCCGTTGTGAGTTCCCAGTTTTTTTTCTTTTTTTTCAAACTTTTCTGTTTTTCATCATTCGATTTTTCGTTCCTTGGATTTTTCTTTGTTAATGTGAATTGAAAGCGGTGGCAAATTAGCACGCAGCAATTTCAGCCGTTTACTCTTCTCGACTTTTTTACTCGGCGAAGCGCGGCCCGGTTTTGTGGTCGATAGATTTTCAACGCTCTGTGCAATCATATCACCTTTACCGAAATATCTTGGCATTGTGAAATCGGCTTCGGTGGCTCGCTCTTTATTCGATGTTTGAATACTGTACAAACTTACTGATTCTTTGTACTTTTCAATGGTTGGCGTATCTACAAAGTGTTTCGGCAGCGTTGTATACGATATGGATGGTATTTCCGGTGTCATACTAATCATATTTGAACTGCCGGCTATCGTAAAAATGTCCGTTTCGCTGGCCGGCCGAAATGAAAAGTACGGCAAACTTTGAATCGTTCGCAAACGTTTATTCAAAATTGGTGTCTTTATTCCAACACTACTGGATTCCTCTTCTGAATCAACACCACCGTCGGCATTGTCACTTGACGTGGACGGTGTATTTGTCCTAATTATCGGCACCGGTCGCAAAATCAATTCATTCGCTTTCTCATCCCTTCGCGATGATTTGCTGGCTGTTTTGCTAGCACCTTGTTGCTCTTCTTCCGAGTTTAATTCGATTCCTGTGGGAAATGGAAACAAATGAACGGCAAAAATGTAACTAAACTTTTGGAAAGGTGGTTTTTTTAGCAATAGCTATTGATTATAATTGTCTACACATCTAGATTTAAAACGGATAATTTATTTTCGAGCAATGAATATAAAAAACAAATTGGCAAACAATATTGAAAAACAAAGAAAAAAAAACACATTACTTTTGAATGAAACAAAAACTACTGGATGGAATGCAAATTATTGGCGATGTCGCTACAGTTGGATGATGCGCATGATGAAGGTTTAGTTGAAGCAGAAGGAGGTTAGTCTAAAATGCCAAATGATGACAAAAGACAGCCAAAACAAGAAAACAAAGAAGAGAAAAGCATCTTAATTTGAGAGAAAAAGACGTAAATGGTTTTTTTTCTTCAAAAATTCTACAGCAATTCTACGAATAAATTTTATTTGTATGTAAAAATCAAAAAAAGAAAGTTAATAATAAGCGTTGTATCAATTGCATTCATTTCATTTTATTCATATTGATACGTATTTTTTTCAACAGGTTCACATTGATTTCACCATCATTTTACGTTGATTCAAGACGTCTAGATATTCATCAGATCTTTGACTCGACAATATACTGAATTGGTCTCTCATTGAATTAAGCGATTATTATTCGTATTTCATTGAAACATTAGAAACAATTCCATTTTCAAAATCCGTAGACAAAGATAAGACTTAGGTTTCCATAGCACCGGAAATTGAGATAATAGCACAGAATTCAACAACATTCACACATTTAAATGCAGATATGATAAATGATTCTCTGGCACCGTGCTTGTGTATGAGCATGAGTCTGTGTGGTTTCATTTCACTTTTGAACGAATTTATTTCTCTCGTCCTCTAGATCTTTCTCTCTCTCCCTCTATCTTTGACTCATCGTAAACTACGTGTTTCAACTGCTTGAAAACAATTACTCATATCAAGTGTATCAACCGGTATAGAGGCGGTTGATGTGTTAAGTAGAGCTGTAATTTATGCGACATTCACTATCTCTATATATAGAGATATCAGAGAACGAAATAAATGTTCTCGAAATAACCCGAAGGCATGTTATAAAATTGTTTGGAAGAATTGTAGGCATTGTTCAATTTTTCGCTGTTTACTCTCCAGCTGTCGTAAATTTAGCATGAATTCACATAATGTTTTGCATTGACGATTGACCTTGAACGAAGTATACACACAGCGCAGTGAGTCGACACGACACACAAAGAGAGAGAGAGAGAGAGAGAGAGAGAGAGAGAGAGAGAGAGAGAGA